TTTGAAGACAGGCAGGTGAAGTAGTAGTAGTTGTTACCCACTTCTCAAATTTACCATCACAGCAATTGTGGAATTCTGCTAGTTCTATTCCAAGATAAAGGGGCTTTTCAAGCTCAGCTTCGTTCTGCTGTTACACTAAGAGGTAGAGGGTTTCCAATCTTCACCTGGGCTATATTTATAAACTAGCTTGGGTACCTGGCATTGCCCAGGTTAGCTGAAAAAGTCACTTTTATTAATTTTTCAAAATGCAGAAGGGTGTGAGTGAACTACAACTCACATCATGCCAGGTTAACACCAAAAAACTCCATCAGTGCTTAAAGTTTGTTATGTTGGGCAAGTCCTCTAGGCGCATCATCGGTGGGGTTCTGGCTGTAGGGTAAACTACAATTCCCTCTATGTTAAGTCAGTGTCCTCAAACCCTTCCAGTATGTTAAGTTAGTCATGGCAGTTCTGTGTGCCAAGTTTGGGTCAAGTCCATCATCGGTGGAGGTCACGGTTTCTCTGGTGAACTGCAACTCCCAGAAAGGAAGGTCAAGTTTGAGTGGTGAGCAGTATGGTGTTTGTGGAGGACATTGGCAGGACTCTTGTCCTCCACAAGAGCCCTGCCAATGTTACTGGAAGGAGGGCCTTTGGTGACTCCTGAGTAGTGGGAGCTATAGCCGTTTGTGGAGGCAGAAGCTTGTCTGTGTAAGCAGACACCCCAACCACACACATACACATACATATTTTTGCTTTTTATGGATAGAAGTCGAGATGAATGTATATGTTTGTTGGCTTGTACCACAAGGGCTCCTATATGGCTTGATTGGTTCAGGATCAAACTTGACACACGGGTGCACTATTGTCCAACTTAAAAGGATTGAAGGGGCTGAACAAAACGAACCACTCCTTTCAGGTCCAGCACAGAGGTGAACAAATGAGTCTAAGTGGATGGGCTTCGGCTAGGTGAAGTGGCCCTTCTTCATGTGACTGGGAAAGAGAATGAGTGAAAGGGAAGGAAGAAAGAAAAAAGGGAAACAAAGGGAGAAAAAAGGGAAGGAGGTGGAAGAAAAAGGAGAGAAAGAAGAGAAAGGAAGAAAGGGAGAGAGAGAGAAAGATAGGGGAAGGGAAGAAAGAAAGGACAAAGGTTGGGTGGGAAGAAAAAAAGAAGAGAAGAAAGGAAGCTTTAGGGGGAAATGCAAGGAAGAAAACAGAAGGTATGTGGGGGAAATTGAGAAAGGGAAGAAAGAAACTCAAAGAAAGACTGCCCACTGTTACGAGAGTATGGAGACATTGTGAGGTAGGCCTTTTTAGAGCTGGAGAAGGCAGAAAGTAGACAGCCACCAGTCTCAAAAAACACCCAGGCAACATCAGATAGATCTTCTAGTATTTATATATATCATGATTCTGCCATTGTTTCCTTGCTGTGCTGGAAATTTTCCAGAGTTGTGTGGAAGAGCACAATAGAGACGGTGTGTTGTCAAAGGCTTTCATGGCCAGAATCACTGGGTTGCTGTGAGTTTTCCGGGCTGGATGGCCATGTTACAGAAGCATTCTCTCCTGACGTTTCACCAACCTCTGAAGGCATCTTCAGAGGTTGTGAGGTGCCCGTTAGAAACTAGGCAAGTGAGGTGTATATATCTTGCTTAAACAGACAAGAGTTCTTTCTCCCACCTTGGACATTCCGTAGATTCCAAACACCACTTGCCTAGTTTCCAACAGACCTCACAACCTCTAAGGATGCCTAACATAGATGTGGGTGAAACATCAGGAGAGAATGCTTCTGGAACATGGCCATACAGCCCGGAAAATTCACAGCAACCCATGGAAGAGACAGCTGGACAAATGGGAACCTTCAGGAAAGCAAGGATTTTCTGCAGATGTATGGAGCAAGCTGAATATTGTATCTAATGTAATAAAGGATGGAAAATTATCAAATCTGAGGTGGTTTGGTTAGCATCTCTTTGCTGAAACAATTTCAAAAGTTCAGAAAAATAAATTCCCACTCGTTCCATTTCTTTATTGCTGCCCAAAAGGTGGGACACATTTGCCCTGAAGCTTAAGAGTCGGTTAAAGTATTGCTTGTGAATTAACAATCAGTAAAACAACATTGTCTTGAAGGATCGGAACAACCATGTCACAAACAACCAAAACATCCAAGGAAGATCAAGTTATTTTATGGGGAGAGCTACTACATGTTTGGCTTAGATGTGAAAACTAGATTAGAAAGATGAGTATTCAAAGAAATTCAACAAACACAGAAGTGGGCTGCCTTTGAACTTGGATATATTTTGGAAGGTTTGAAGGGGGTCTTGTTTTTGGACCTCCTGGATCATTTTAGCTCTAGGAAAGGACTTAATTTGGGAGGCGGGGGAGGCAATTTCCCAATCTTCAATGGCCCAGGAGTCCCCAAAATGTGACAAACATATCTCTATCCCGGAAAAAAAGTTTGGAAGCACAGTGGTTCCTTGATATCCTCTGGGATTTGGTTCCAGGGTCCCTGTCGATACCCAGATCTGTGAATGCTCAAATTCCACAATTAACAACAGTGTAGTAAAATGGCACTGCTTATATAAAAAAGCAAAATCAAGGTTTCCTTTTTGGAATTTGGGGGAGAAAGGGTGGTATTGGGGGAAACAAAAACAATATGACTTCTAAAGGTGCATCTACACTGCTGAATTAATGCAGTTTGACACCACTTGAACTGTCATGGCTCAGTGCAATGGGAGATATAGTTTTGACAAGACCTTTTGCCTTTTCTTCCAGAATGCTTGCACCGCATCTAACAACTCTCATGATCCCCTAGCACAATGGTTCTTGACTTGTGGGTCCCTGGATGTTTTGGCCTTCAACTCCCAGAAATCCTAACACCTGGTAAACTGGCTGGGATTTCTGGGAGTTGTAGGCCGGGAGTCCTAACAGCTGGTAAACTGGCTGGGATTTCTTGGACTTGTAGGCCAAAACACCTGGGGACCCACAGGTTGAGAACCATTGCCAACATGGCAAACATGAAAACATGGCAGCTAAGGTGGGGTTTTTTTTTTGTCGTGTCAGGAGTGACTCCTGGTGTGAGAGAATTGGCCGTCTGCAAGGACGTTGCCCAGGGGACGCCTGGATGATTTGATGTTTTTATCATCCTTGTGGGAGGCTTCTCTCATGTCCCCGCATGAGGAGCTGGAGCTGATAGAGGGCGCTCATCCGCCTCTCCCCGGATTTGAACCTGCGACCTGTCTGTCTTCAGTCCTGCCGGCACAGGAGTTTAACCCACTGCGTCACCGGAGTGTCAAACCACCTTAATTCTAGAGTGTAAATGCACCCCGTGTCACATTTTCCACCCCAGCTGTAAGGACAACTCAGTTTTGGGACAAATCAAGTGTTTTCCCTAAACCAGTGGTTCTCAACTTGTGGGTCCCCAGATGTTTTGGCCTTGGCCTCGCAGAAAACCCAGCCAGTTTACCAGTTGTTAGGATTTCTGGGAGTTGAAGGCCAAAACATCTGGGGACCCACAGGTTGAGAATGACTGCCCTAAACCCTATCGTAAGAAATAAAAGTAACTAGCATAATGGGGGAGCTATGTAGTCCTTCTGATATGTCTTGAACACAAATCTCATTATTATTCACAATTGGAGGCAATGGGCATTTGAATTAGAAGCCCACGGATTCATGGCCATGAATGATAAAGGTCCTATCAGACCAGAGCACCCACTCACGGAGATGTTGACCGTTGCCCATCTTGTTGATTTGACCTCACACCACCTTACTTAGGTTTTGCTCACATATTCGTTATGTGAAAAACCCGGGACCTCTCGCAGAAGGCTGAGCATTCGTATCACGTCGGGGTCGCCAGAAATGTTTCAGCATAATCTGCCTGTTCCTTCCTGCGGTGCTCAAAGAGGAAGATTATGCTGAGACACCAAAATAAAGGGAATGGCAACCCAATAGCACTTGTGACTCTTGAGGTTGGAGGAACGTTAAAGGACATTTTGAAGTTACACATCATCTCCACAAGCCTTGTATCTAAAGTTTAACTCCACTCTCCTGACTAAATAGACCAGTAGTACTCAACCTGTGGGTCCCCAGGTGTTTTGGCCTACAACTCCCAGAAATCCCAGCCAGTTTACCAGCTGTTAGGTTTTCTGGGAGTTGAAGGCCAAAACATCTGGGGACCCACAGGTTGAGAAACACTGAAATAGACTGAACTGCATCCTTTCAGATGTTACTGCAGCCTAGCTCCCATCAGCTCTAGCCACAATGTCCAATGATAAGGAATACAGGAGTTGTAATCTGGAGGGCAACATATGATGATATGGAGGACTGGATTTGGCCTGTGGGCCTTGGGTTTGACACATGTGCTTTAAGGCATGTATAGCAACTTCCCCCACTCTCATGCACGCTATATCTGTTGGACTACAAATCCCATTATGCTACAGTCACTACTATGGAAGGCATTCGATTAGGAAAGATTGTAACACCAGACAGGTAGTTTCAGCCCTTGGATTGTACAGGACAACTCTATTATCCAGTCTCGATATTCATAATTTCACTTAAGCAAACTAAAAAAAAAAAAAAAGACCCCAAACTCCACAATCTCTGGAAGAGTTTGTGGGTTTTAACAGATCTTCCAGTGTTATTCTATGGAAAGATTAAGGGCCAAGTAAGGTCAAAGTAACAGCGCTCCATGCAGTCATGCCAGCCACATGTTCTTGGAGGTGTCTACGGACAACGGCGGCTCTTCGGCTTAGAAATGGAGATGAGCCCCAATGACTGGACTTAATCTCAGGGGAAAACCTTCACCTTTACCTAAGATCAAAATAAAGGCAGAACTATTATCTGGCTCCAGGTACTGTATCCTTCAGGACATGGAGGTCTTGCTGTGTATGGTCCTCAGGCTTTTTGTGACCCTCAATTCCTGCACTCCGTATCTCCTGAAAGCCCCCAGGAAGGGCAATTTGCCTTTTAAACAGGTTGCAGCCTCTCTGTCCTATACTAACATTAAAAATATAATTTCCCCTCAAAATCAGAAATGGACTTCTGGTGTCCAGTTCAAGGAGGAGATTGACAAGGTGGAAAATGTCCAGAAGAGGGTCACCAAGATAATAAAAGATTGGAAATCCAAGTCTTATGGGGACAGGCACCTGGGTATGTTGAACTGCGAGAAGAGAAAATTGAGAAGTGATAGGGCGCTCATCTTTAAATATCCAATGGGATGTCACCCAGAAAACAGAGCAAGCTTGTTTTCTGGTGCTTCACAGACCAGAAGCAATGGATTCACAAGACAAGGGATTCCACCAAAACTCAAGGAAGACCATCTTGACAGAAAGATAACTGGATTGCTTCAGAGCATGATAGACTTTCTGTTAAGCAAAGGCTATATGGGCATCTCACAGGAGTGCTTTAGTTGTGCAGTATGCACTCCTCATTCACAGAAATTCGGACACAGAAGCCTCACAAAAGTGGAAGAAATACAAATATTAAATCATCTTTCCTCCCCTTTGAAAAACCTTTTGAGTCATCTCTAGATCCTCTAGCAATACTCTGTGGTCAACTTCCAACAGGTATTGCTGACTTGAAGACTGGGTTGCTGACCTGAAGGTTGCCGGTTCAAATCCAGGGAGAGCTTTTCCGGAATATGGGCATACACCCAAAAAATGCACAGCAACCCAGTTTTTTCCCCACAATTTTTGATTTTTTTTTTTAAATTTTGGAGGAATTTAGCACCCTCAGCAAATGTGGAAGGATTCATGTAAATGTGACTAGAAAAGAGTTAAGAGGCTGTAAGTCTAATTGACAACACTGTAAGAAATGGACCGGGTTTCAGTGTCTCTGTGTTTATATGCAGAGGGGAAAAAGTTATGATAAGCAGGCTACTTTAACAGAAGTTGGATTGGGAGAACTCTACCCACTACCTCCCTCTGCCTCTTTGGATCAGGTCCCTGGGAAAAAACACACTTGCTTGCCAAGGCAAAAGAAACTGTGGGGAAGTTAGTTTTGCTATGTCTCCTCACACAGAGTCCCCACCTCAGCAGGTGATACTTCTATATAATGCCCTAGGAGGTTAGGTAACAGGCATTTCAACCCCACATTCTTGTTTTCCTTCAAAACAAAGAACACGAGGCCTTGTGGCCCCTCAGTGATGGTGCTTGATGAAGTTTGAGTTGTCGCTGAACCGCTTTCCGCAGACGGAGCACTCGTACGGCTTCTCGCCCGTGTGGATCCTCTTGTGGACAATGAAGTTGGAGTAATCGTTGAAGCGCTTCCCGCAGGCTGGGCACTCGTACGGCTTCTCTCCCGTGTGGATCCTCTTGTGCCGGGTGAGGCTGGACCCGGTGTTGAAGCCCTTCCCGCAGTAAGAGCACTTGTAGGGCTTCTCGCCGGTGTGCACCCTTTGGTGGATGAGGAAGGCAGCGCGGCTGACAAAGCATTTCCCGCAGTCTGAGCAGTTGTACCACCTCTCGCCAGAGTGGGTTCTCTCGTGCGCAATAAGGTTGGACCGGCGACGGAAGACTTTTCCGCACATGTGGCAAGCATTGTCCCTCTCGCCGCTAGGGAGCATCGCCTGGTGCAGGATGCTTTCGTCCAGGTCCTCGTATGCGCCCTGGGAGTTAATGAATTTCCCGCCTTCTCTCTCAAGGCAGCTTCCGTACAGGATCTCAGAAATCTCCTCTCGATTGGCATAGGGGAGGATGTTCTCCTCCACCCTCCCTGACAACATCCAACGGGAATCTGGCTCAGCGGAATTTCCTGGGTTGTTCTTCTCTGTCCTATACAGTTTCTTGTCAGCTGTTGGAATAAGCAAATAAAAAAGGGAATTTATTTATTTATCGTGTCATCCGCAGCCAGAACATTGTATTACATTTCTAACAGAACAAAACAAACAAACAGATATAAAAAAAGGGGGAGACACCAATTAAGCACAATGACATATCCCCTGGGAGGATACTGTCAGAAATATTAAAAATTAACTAGGTATTTTTTAATTACATAAATGCGAGTCAAGCATGAGCCAACAATGGGATGTGGTGGCAAAAAAAGCCAATGGGATTTTGGCCTGCATCAATAGGAGTCTAGTGTCTAGGTCCGGGGAAGTAATGCTACCCCTCTATTCTGCCTTGGTTAGACCACACCTGGAATATTGTGTCCAATTCTGGGCACCATAATTCAAGAGAGATATTGACAAGCTGGAATGTGTCCAGAGGAGGGCGACTAAAATGATCAAAGGTCTGGAGAACAAGCCCTATGAGGAGCGGCTTAAAGAGCTGGGCATGTTATGCCTGAAGAAGCGAAGGCTGAGAGGAGACATGATGAGGGCCATGTATAAATAAATATGTGAGAGGAAGTCACAGGGAGGAGGGAACAACCTTGTTTTCTGCTGGAGACTAGGACGCAATGGAACAATGGCTTCAAACTACAAGAAAGGAGATTCCATCTGAACATGAGGAAGAATTTCCTGACTGTGAGAGCCGTTCAGCAGTGGAACTCTCTGCCCCAGAGTGTGGTGGAGGCTCCTTCTTTGGAAGCTTTTAAACAGAGGCTGGATGGCCATCTGTCAGGGGTGATTTGAATGCAATATTCCTGCTTCTTGGCAGGGGGTTGGACTGGATGGCCCCTGAGGTCTCTTCCAACTCTATGATTCTATGATTCTAAGCACTAGGAGAATTAGTAGCCTGTTATAGACAGTGAGCCAAAGCTAGCATCGTCCTGAGGACTGTGAGGTAAACCTCAGTGTGAGGGAAGCCTTGTGTGAGAAAGCTCCAGTGTGAAGGCTGTTGCATGTGCTGGAGAGCACTTGACCTGGGACCACTCTCCAACATTAGTACCAAAAGTACTATGAATCAGTTTTTGGTCAACTTTAGTTTTGGTTTGGTTATTCGGGGTGCTGATTCACAAAATTGCATTGGATAAACCACATCACCTCTAGTTTCGGATACAGAAAATATGCCATGGTCAGCGACAGGGAAGGAGTGACAGGCAGCGTGAAAGTAGTGGAAATCTGGCTCACGGACCAGATTTTCCTCTTCATGGCCCACAGGTTAAGAACCATTGGATTAGATCAAAAGTCTAGTTAGCCCAGCACTCTGTTCACACAATGGCCAAGTTGTCACCCAATGGAAAGGAATATAGTAGAATACAAGTGTAATAGCATACTCGTCATACCTTTCCAAACAATTAGACCCAGATTTCCATTATTGCAGTTAAGAGTGGAATAATAGTGCTATAATTGTGTAGCATCTGATTCATTTTCAATTTGTTATTTGTGTGGCTGGGTACATATTTTGAGCTTCTGGAGTCTACCTTCAGTTTGGGTGCATGGCTAGAAAAACAAATCTGCACATTTCTGCAGTTTAAAAAGAGACTGTTTAGTAATCCTTTAGAATTATTTTAGTTGTGCATCTCTACATTGCATAATTATATGATTCTCCTCTATCTCAGCTTCAAAAAGGCAAAAACATCCAAACATCATAGCTTTTCCTGAGAGGGAAAATATTTCAGTCCCTTTCACTGTTGGAGTGGCTCTTTTTCTGTTCCTTTCTCACCTGTTTTTCAGGTGTAGTGATTAGAACTTCATCCGATATGATAAGACAGTGGTTTCCAACCTTTGGCCCTCCAGGTGTTTTGGACTTCAGCTCCCAGAATTCCTAGCAATTGTCTAAGCTGTCTGGAGCCTATGAGAATTAAAGTTCCAAACACCAAGATATTGGGAATCATTACAGACATCTGTTTTCCTTAGGAGTAGGAAAATAGCAGCATGTTGGGACACCCAGAGATCCTTACCCAACTGGTCAACGTCCCTCTCATCCTCTTGCTTAAAATGTGGCCTCTTCCAAGTGTCCAAAGCAGCTCCCTCCGCCAAGTTATCCTCCTCCTCCTCCTCAAATGGACTAATTGTCTGAAAGAGCAGAGAGATACACGCGAAGGTCATTCAAATGGTAGCAGTGGAGGTGGGAAATGAGGTGGATATAATGCCTTCTTCTATAATCCCTCCTTCCACAGCTTTCATGGCAGCAGATCAGCAGGATTTGAATACTGGTGGGATTGGGGGGGGGGGGTATTTGCCATTTGGGAGTTGTAGTTGCTGGGATGTATGGTTAACCTATAATCAAAGAGCATTCTGAACTCCACCAGTGATTGAATTGAACCAAACTTGGCACACAGAACTCCTACGACCAACAGAAAATACTGGAAAGGTTTGGTGGGCATTGACCTTGAGTTTTGGAATTGTAGTTCACCTACATCCAGAGAGAACTGTGGACTCAAACAATGATGGATCCGTACCACGCTTGGCACAAATATTCAGTATGCCCAAATGTGAACACTGGTGAACTTTGGGGGAAAAAGACTTTGACATTTGGAAGTTGTAGTTGCTGGGATTTATAGTTCACCTACAATCACAGAACATTCTGAAAACCACACCAACAATAAAATTGGGCCAAACTTCCCACAGAGAATAATAAATAGTAATAAATAAAACTTTATTTATACCCCGCCACCATCTCCCCGAAGGGACTCGGAGCGGCTTACATGAGGCCAAGCCTGTCAAATACAAATACAACAATACATCAACAAACAAGCAAGCAAATAAATCAATATAAATAATACAATTGAACATATAAGCAATAACACAAAAAAGATTTTAAAACACTATGGCGGGGCCAGATGGTATGGGGCCAGAACTCCCATACCTTGAAGGGACTCTGGAATGATGATGATGATGATGATATTTATTTATACCCTGCCACCATCTTCCCAAAGGGGACTCCGAGCATCTTACATGAGGCCCAGAATTACAGTACAACAAAATAAAATAAAATACAAACATTAAATAATAACAAAAATACAGAAAATAACATAAAAAGTGAAATAACAGATGCAAACTAACATGATGAAGAAATATTTTTGGAACATGGGTAACTGAAACTGTAGATACTGAATTCATGGATAAGAGGGGCATACAGTACTAGGACTCCAGAGACTGTATTATACCTTTAATATTTCCCTGCTCTTCAAAACCTGGAAGTGGACAGAGGTCTTCTTCCAGTTTTCAAAAGGATTTTCCAGGTGGGTCATATCTTCTTAGGGTGACACCATTCCAAAGTACCACCTTCCATTCTTATAGTAGTGATATCCACAACACAATCATAGCCTCGGCCCCCCGCCCCTCACAAACCACAAAAGGATTAGTTCTGTGTTTCCCACCTCATCTTTCTGCACCTGGTTCTCTTGCTGCCTCAGTAGGAAATCTTCAGCCAGGATCACCGCTTGGGTGCAGGTCTGGGGGCTACATTCCCGGACCCAGCTCTGCATCTCCGAGGGCAGGACAGCCAGAAACTGCTCCAGGATCACCAGCTCCAAGATCTGCTCCTTGGTGTGCCTCTCAGGTTTCAGCCACTGGTGGCAGAGCCTCCGGAGATGCCGGCAGGCCTCACGAGGCCCGTCAGTTTCCTGGTAGCCAAATCGCCTGAAGAGCCGGCATTCTTCATGCAAGTTGCTGGCCTCCTGTCCTAGAACCAAGCACTTGCCTTTTGAATCTTCTGCCTTGCTTTTGGCCACAGCTTGGAGGCTCCCTCTACTTGAGCTGGGCATATGCTGGGAAGCCCTCTCCACTTTAAGCTGCGGGTTGGAGTTGGCGGTCACTTTGAAGTGGGTCATGGTGGGCCGAGCATGGTTTCTTGGTCGGGGCCCCAGGAGCTGTGGGTTGCCCACTTCCGCATGAGGAGACTCAAGGGCTTTGAGGAACTCCTGAAGCTGAGACTCCCATCGCTGTTGCAGTCCCTTACGTGGTTCCCGAGTCAAGTCCTCTGGCACGGCTCTTTCCCAAAAGTCCCGGATGCTTTCCATGGGGAGGTCGTGAGGGACCCTTGTCTCTTCCTTCACTGCCTCAGATCCTGCTGTGTTTTGCTCTTCTCTTGTCCTTTTCTCTTGTCTTGCAAATGAAGTATCTCGTGATTCCATTTCTTCTCTCTCAAGGCCCAACTCTTGTACTCTGGAAGCAAGGAAACTTGTGGGCCAGTGACAACTTAGATGGGCTTAGGAACACGTAAACAGCTTTTCTGTGGGGGAAAAAGATAAATCGTGATAGAATCATAGAGTTGGAAGAGACACCCAAGAGTCGTCCAACCCAACCCCCTTCTGCCATGCAGCAATAGACAACCTAAGCACTCCTAAACAACCCCTTTTTAAAAAATATTTTGGAGATTTGGGGGAGAAATAAAAAATCCTAATGCCAGGTATTTCTCCTATCATGCCAGTTCTAATGACAGAAAACTTCCCAGCAAATTTGAAAAAAGAACTTGAAGCAGAATTTAATGGAAGAGGTTTAATGAAAGCTAAAGACTGGGACCTGAAGATGGTAAATATGGAAAAGATAAAAGAGGAATTAAGAGGAAGAGACTTAGATTGGTACAAGTATATGCAATTGGGTAAATGGTCAAGTGATATAAGGAAAAATTATAATGGGGGTAGGGAATATACAAAAATAGAAAAGATGATAACTCAAAGGGAGACTAAAGAAGAGAATATAACATTAAAAGGTACAGCAAGCGATATCTATAAATTATTACTAATGAACCCCAGTTTTGGCAGGCAACAACCCGGAATCTCAAGCCATGGCTGATACCAAGTGACAGACCCCTTTGGGCACACAGAGGAAACATTCACACCTTGCTCCAGTGGACAAGAGTTCTTTCTCCCATCCTGGACCTTCCACAGATATATAAACCCAATTTTCCAGTTTCCAACAAACCTCACAACCTCTGAGGATGATTGCACAGATGCAGTGAAACATCAGGAGAGAATGCTTCTAGAACATAGCCATACAACCCAAAAAAAACCTACAACAACCCAGTGGTTTCGACCATGAAAGCCTTTGACAATACATTGAACATCTTAGGAAGCTGTTTCTTGATTTAAGTTGTTGGCATGCTGGCTGATATCCAAACAGAGGATGGGCCAGAGATGTCGATACCTTGATCCTTTCATTGCTGGCTGCTACTTCCTAGCAGATATCAGGTGGTGCAATGCCTGCTAAACAGTATAATTTCTCCAACGGTGTTGAGTGTAGACATGCTGTGATGATGTGGCATGTCTCATTAAGAGCCACATCCATTGTTTTAGCGTGGTGAGATGTATTCCATACTGGGCATGCATACTCAGCAGCAGAGTAGTAAAGCGCAACAGCAGATGTCTTCACTGTTTCGTGGTCAGACTGTCCCAAGGTCATTTTACATAGTTTTTACACTCATTTCTTGCAAGAAACAACCCTGTGTTCCTTGTTCTATCAGAAAGTAAAGGTGTTAGTATCTCTACCACCTAGATGGGCAATTCAGGAGTATTTTGGAAACCTGGGAAAAGGATGCTCAACTTGTATTTGCAAATAGTCAAAGTTAGTAACAACTTGCTTGCCTCCCACCCAAAATAAACAATTTTTGGGAGGATAACGGAGCCCAAAACCAGCCTTGGCGACTATAGGAGATTCTCCTGGGTTTAGATAAAGTCTTGGTGTGCATCTACACTAGGAATGGGCCAACTTGGGCCCTCCAGGTGTTTTGGACTTCAACTCCCACAATTCCTAACAGCCTACCGGCTGTTAGGAATTGTGGGAGTTGAAGTCCAAAACAGCTGGAGGGCCCAAGTTGGCCCATGCCTGATCTACACCATACAATTAAGTCAGTTTGATATCACCTTAACTGCTTTGGCTCAATGCTATGCAACCCTGGGAATTGTAGTTCCACAAGGTCTCTAGCCTTCTCTGCTAAAGAGAGATGATGCTCCAGCCTCTAACTTTCCACAGGGCAAAACTAACTCTCTTTTTCCCCCTCCTCCACCTCTCTCACCTGACTTCCCTCCAGGAGAATCCTTCGCCTTCTGAACAGGAGCCTGGGAATTTCAAAGGCCACCTTCCCACGGGAGGCGGGGCCGGAAGTGACGCAGACTGTTTACATCCTCCCCTGCTCAGCCTCAGCAGCATCCGGTCCCTTCTAGGAAAAGGCACTTCCTTCCCTTAACCCTTCTTGTGCCAGGAAGCCCTAGATGACTTGTCTAAGGGAGCTTCTGTCTACACTGCAGTAGAATGAATGCATTTGGGAAACACTGTTGCTCCCATTTTTTTTTTCACTTTTGCAAGGGATTTGTGTTATAAATACAATATTATTATGATACTTCATTTTGTTGATGGGGAGCTTCCCACCAGATTGGAAACCATCTATCGGACAGATGGCAAGCTATTGAATCTCAGCCGACTGAAAGCCAAAATCAAGGTCACAACGAATCTGTTATAGAAGTCCAATATGTCGATGATAACGTAGCCTGTGCACATTCAGAATTATTATTATTATTATTATTATTATTATTATTATTATTATTATTTGCTACCGGGCACAATTCAAAGTGCTGGCGTTGGCCTATAAAGCCCTAAACAGTTCTGGCCCAAGTTACCTATCCGAACGCATCTCCGCCTACGAACCCACTAGGACTTTAAGATCTTCAGGGGAGGCCCTGCTCTCGATCCTGCCAGCAACTCAGGCACGGTTGGCGGGGACGAGGGACAGGGCCTTCTCAGTGGTGGCTCCTTGGCTGTGGAACGCCCTCCCCACAGACATTAGATCGGCTCCCTCATTAATGGCATTTCGGAAGAAAGTAAAAACCTGGCTATTTGAACAGGCGTTTGAATGAGAAGTGCAATGAATTACAATGAATCATAGGAAATCGGAATAACGGATGACGAACTTGGATTGTGATTTCACTTATGAGACGCTAATGAGTCACTTATTGATGTTGATGTTTACTGATTGCTTAGTGTATTATTGCCTTAATTGTTTTTATATGGTCTGTATGTTGTTAGCATTGAATTTTTGCTGCTGTTTGTTTGTTGTTAACCGCTCTGAGTCGCCTAAGGGCTGAGAAGAGCGGTATACAAATAAAGTAAATAATAATAAATTATTATTATTGAAGGAAAAGTTGACAGGGAGAAGAACTGGTTATGGCTCACGAATGGAACACTGAAGAAGGAGATAGAATGTATTATCGAAGGCTTTCATGGCCAGAATCACTGGGTTGTTGTAGGTTTTTTCGGGCTATATGGCCATGGTCTAGAGGCATTCTCTCCTGACGTTTCGCCTACTTCTATGGTAAGCATCCTCAGAGGTAGTGAGGTCTGTTGGAACTAGGAAAAGGGGTTTATATATCTGTGGAATGACCAGGGTGAGACAAAGGACTCTTGTCTGCTGGAGCTAGGTGTGAATGTTTCAACTGACCACCTTGATTAGCATATAATGGCCTGACAGTGCCTGGAGCAAACTTTTGTTGAGAGGTGATTACATGTGCTTGTTTGTTTCCTCTCTGTTGTTGTGCTGTTGTAATTTTAGAGCTTTTTAATACTGGTAGCCTGATTTTGTTCATTTTCATTGTTTCCTCCTTTCTGTTGCAATAGTCCACATGCTTGTGGATTTCAATGGCTTCTCTGTGTAGTCTGACATGGTGGTTGTGAGAGTGGGCCAGCATTTCTGTGTTCTCAAATAAAATGCTGTGTCCAGATTGGTTCATCAGGTGCTCTGCTATGGCTGATTTCTCTGGTTGAAGTAGTCTGCAGTGCCTTTCATGTTCCTTGATTCGTGTTTGGGCGCTGCGTTTGGTGGTCCCTATGTAGACTTGTCCACAGCTGCATGGTATACGGTAGACTCCTGCAGAAGTGAGAGGATCCCTCTTGTCCTTTGCTAAACGTAGCAGGAGACAGAATGCTTGAGTCTTGCAGCCCAGGAGCAAGCCATCAGAACCAATGCCATTAAGGCCAGGATTGAAAAATCAGCTGATGATCCAAAATGCAGACTGTGCAAGGAAGCTGAGGAAACCATGGACCATATCCTCAGCTGCTGGAAGAAGATCGCATAGACGGGACTACAAACAAAGACACAACTCTGTGGCCCAAATGATTCACTGGAACTTATGTCACAAGTACCACCTGCCAGCAGTAAAGATTTGGTGGGATCATAAACCTTCAAAGGTCGTGAAAAATAAACATGCAAAAATACTGTGGGACTTTCAAATCCAGACTGACAATGTTTTGGAATACAATACACCAGACATCACGATTGTGGAAAAGAAAAAAGTCTGGATGATTGATGTCGCCATACAGGGTTAAGGCAGAATCAGATCCCATATTTTTGCAGATCAATGGACCTAATAGTTGTGATGGCAAATACCCCTCAATTTTGTTCTGTAGGCTCTTCAGAAAATATAGCTTTAGTTTTACAAAGTGCCGGAGTCTTCATGTAGAAAGGAGAACGGATATGGACTTGACCATATATGGGAAACAAAGACGGGTTTTGGTGCCAAAGAAAAGTTTTTTGTGCAAGGGTGAAGTATCGGTCAAGAGACATGCTGACCTTGCAGAGAGGAACTTGCCAAATCAGCAGCTGTCTCCAGCTGTATTCAGCATCTTGAGATGTTTCCAAAAAGGGGTTTGCTTATTGGGAAACGAAACTTAAAAGTATATGATCTAATTGCTTAACATAAATATAATATTGACAGCTCTTTTAACCAATGATTTAATCTTTGGGGCGGCTCTTAAAGCCGAACCCCTTTGTATGTATAAAAGTAACTCTAACCCTTTGTGCTGGGTGACTTCCCCCAGAGACGCCTTGTTGCGTCGGAAGTCAACTAGCAGCTGCTAAATAAATAAATAAACTTTGATATTCTTGCTGAACCCAGTTGGCTGTTTTTCCTGACTCATCTGCGTCCGCAACTGAACTGGAACGGAGCATTTTGGCTAAGCTCTTGAGCAATTGCTCAGGGGAAGGAAAAAAGCCTGCTTCAGGGTGACAGTCGCATTGAGGAAAAACAACAGGAAAAACTCAGCCACTATCAAGACCTCAAAATTGAACTGCAAAGGCTCTGGCATAAACCAGTACAGGTGGTCCCAGTGGTCATTGGCGCACTGGGTGCCGTGCCAAGAGATCTCAGCCGGCATTTGGAAACAATAAACATCGACAAAATCACGATCTATCAACTGCAAAAGGCCGCCTTTCTTGGTTCGGAGTGCATCATTCGAAGTGTTCAACTTGTGATTTTGTGATATGAAATCCAACATATAGATCTCATTTGCTGTGACATATTGTGCTTTTGTGTCAGTAAAATAATAATAATAATGTGGCTCACAAATGGAACTTTGAAAAAGGAGACGGAGGGCCTGATTCTGGCAGCCCAAGAACAAGCCGTTGGAACCAATGCCATCAAAGCCTATAATTCCTAACAGCCAGTAGGCTTTTCAACTGCACAATAGTTAAGTGCTATAACTTCATTTCAGCAATCATGGCACTAATTTAGGGGAGCCTGGGATCTTCAGCTTCAGGAGCAGCTTTAGTGTTGCACCAAGCTACAAACCCTAAGATTGCATACTATGTATTGTCAAAGGCTTTCATGGCCAGAATCACTGGGTTGTTGTGTCTCCCACCCTGGACATTCCACAGATATATAAACGCCAATATTCCTTGTTTGCATCAGACCTCACAACCTCTGGGGTGCCTGCCATAGGTGCAGGTGAAACATCAGGAGAGAATGCTTCTAGAACATGTCCAGGCAGCCTGGAAAACATACAACAACCCATTGCATGCTATGTTTAAACTTTCACATCTAGAGGACATGCATCCTTTTTCGAATGAAGCAGAGAGTTTTTGAGGATCGGGACATTTGTAGAGATCAAGATAGAATAGACTGGACTAGAATAGAATAGAATAACTTTGTCATTGTACATTATACAATGAAATGAAATGCTCTCCCTAGTACATATCACAAACAGCACATCCATCTCTCCACACTCCAACTACCACTGCACAGCATGCAATGCCACATCAATGTGAAACCATGGAGTTTAATATAGTTACAGCTCTAGGATCAAGACAGTGACATCTCCGGCCTGTCCTCTGTTCAGATATCAGCCACCATGCCAATGGCTTAAATCAAGAAACAGCTTCCTAAGATCTACAGAGATACTCGCAGGAACACCTCAGTAAGCAAGAATCCAAAAGTGGCAGGTTAAAACCCAGCACCTTGCTAAGGGGCTGAGACCGAATGAGAAATTCCCTCCTGGGCACACAGAGACTGGGTGACTTGGAAAGTGCTGAACCTTAAGAAATGGAACTACAAAGTGGAGTCCACGACATGCGAGTGTGGAGAAAAGCAAGCCACAGACCACTTTCTACAATGCTACCTGAGCCCTGCCACATGCAGAATGGAGGACCTTCTTAAAGCAACACCAGAGGCACTCCAAGTGGCCAGCTTCTGGTCAAAGGACATTTAGCATAATGCCAAGTTTTAAAAAACTTTGTTTGTGTTTTTAAATGCATTTTAACTGTACCCTCTACTTGCTTCTGACATGATAAATAAAATTAGCTGTAGGATAAAAACTGTCTCTCAATCTGTCCTTGCCTTTGTCACCCTGTACCTTCTGCCAGATGGTAATAATCCAAAAAAAGATGCTTGTTTATAAAGCTATTGCCCTTCCAACTGGATTGTACGTATGCCTGCAAAACATGGACCATCTATAAATGTCACTCTCAACTTCTGGAACGAAGTGTTGCTTCTAAAAAATCCTGAAAGTTGCCCACACTTGGAAGAAGCAAAGGCCACAATTATTGAAGCCATGACCATCAACTTCTCTGTAATGACCACGTTGTATGGATGCCCAAATAGTTACTCTACTCTCAAGTCAAGAGTGGAAAATGGAAAGTTAGTGGACAGGAAAAGAGATTTCAAGATTTCAAAACTAACCTTAAAAACGTGGAATAAATACAGAGAACTGGGAACTTTGGCCCTTGAGCATTCTAACTGGAGGTCAGCTGTGACCAACAATGCTGTAGAATTTGAAGAGGCACAAATGGAAGGTGAAAGGGAGAATCTTGGTAGTGGTTCCATAAGTGACTGTGAAGAACACACACACACATGCAGGCATACACACAAAAAAGTGTGTGTGCATATATGTATGTGTGTGTATACACACATACAATCTTAAAAATATATAGAGATATACATACATGTATATATATGTGTGTGTGTGTGTGTATATACACACACACACACACACACATACAATCTTAAAAATATATAGATACATATACATGCAATCTAAAATCTCTATATATAAAAGTTTGTTTGTATGTAGCTATGTTTGTGTGGCTTGGAGTGGATGGACCCTAGATTCTGGGATTTATAGTTCACATACATCTAGAGATTATTCTGAACGCAGCTGACAATGAATCTGGACTAAACTTGGCACAAAGTCCCCTCATGATCAACTTTAAATATTGGTGGGATTTGTGGGGTGTTGGGGTTGGACCCTGGATGATGGGAAATGCAGTATACCCACAATCAGAGAGCACTCCGAATCCTACTGACAATGAATCTGAACCAAACTTGACATGTATACCCATCATGACCAACTAAATACTGGTGCAGTTTGGTTAGGAAATTACAGATCATGATGGGAGTTGTAGTTCACCTATATCCTTATGCCTTTTCTAACAAGTTCATTTGTTGTTTTGATGTTGTTTATTCGTTCAGTCGCTTCCAACTCTTCGTGACCTCATGGACCAGCCCATGCCATTGCTCTTGTCGGCCATCACCACCCCCAGCTCCTTCAGAGATGTTGGAGGAAAATTCTGAGAGGGTCTTGGACAGCAAGATGATCCAACCAGTCCATCCTACAGGAAATAAAGCCCAACTGCTCATTGGAGGGAAGGATATTAGAGGCCAAGATGAAGTACTTTGGCCACATCGTGAGAAGAAAGGAAAGCCTGGAGAAGACAATGATGCTGGGGAAAATGGAAGGAAAAAAGGAAGAGGGGCTGACCAAGGGCAAGATGGATGGATGGTATCCTTGTAGTGACTGGCTTGACTTTAAAGGAACTGGGGGTGGCCACGGGCGACAGGGAGCTCTGGCGAGGGCTGGTCATGAAGAGTCGGAAGCAACTGAACAAATAAACAACAACAAAATCAATGCTAAAAACTGAGAACTGGGAAGCCCTTGCCCTTGAGCGCCCTAACTGGAAGTCAACTGTGACCAGCAATGCTGTGGAATTTGAAAAGGCACAAATGGAGGGAGAAAGGGAGAAACGTGCCAAGAGGAAGGCGCATCAAGCCAACCCTGACCGGACCGCCTTCTGTCTGGAAACCGATGCCCTTACTGCGGGAGAACATGCGGATCAGGAATAGGGCTCCGCAGCCCCCTACGGATCCACCACCAAGACACTGCGCTTGGAGGACCATCATCCTTGGGCTACGAGGGACCGCCTAAGATAGTGGTTCTCAGCCTGTGGGTCCCCAGGTGTTTTGGCCTACAACTCCCAGAAATCCCAGCCAGTTTACCAGCTGTTAGGATTTCTGGGAGTTGAAGGCCAAAACATCTGGGGACCCCAGGTTGAGAACCACTGGCCTAAGAAGAACACCCTCCCCTCTCACAAACAGAATGGCTCCAAGCAACAGAGGCCAGGCTATCTCTATGCATATACCCTCATTGATTGACTGCAGCTTCATGGTTACTCAATTGTGCCATCAGTAGGCGGTTGTTGTTGCTTATTCGTTCAGTCAGTTCCGACTCTTCGTGACCTCATGGACCAGTCCACACCAGAGTTCCCTGTTGGCCCAGCTCCTTCAGTAGGCAGTTGTTGTCGTTGTTGTTGTTTATTCATTCAGTCGTTTTCGACTCTTTGTGACCTCATGGACCAGCCCAATGCCAGAGCTCCCTGTTAGCCGTCACCATCCCCAGCTCCTTCAGTAGGCAGTTGTTGTTGTTGTTTATTTGTTAGTCGCTTCCAACTCTTCATGACCTCATGGACCAGCCCATGCCAGAACTCCCTGTTGGACGTCACCACCCCCAGCTCCTTCAGTAGGCAGTTGTTGTTGCCGTTGTTGTTAATTAATTCAGTCGCTTCCAACTCTTCGTGAACTCATGGACCAGCCCACGCCAGAGCTCCCTGTTGGCTGTCACCACCCCCAGCTCCTTCAGTAGGCAGTTGTTGTTTATTCGTTCAGTCACTTCCGACTCTTTGTGACCTCATGGACCAGCCCACGCCAGAGCTCCCTGTTGGCTGTCACCACCCCCAGCTCCTTCAGTAGGCAGTTGTTGTTGTTGTTTATTCGTTCAGTCGCTTCTGACTCTTCGTGACCTCATGGACCAGCCCACACCAGAGCTCCCTGTTGGCCGTCACCACCCCCAGCTCCTTCAGTAGGCAGTTGTTGTTTATTTGTTCAGGCACTTCCGACTCTTCGTGACCTCATGGACCAGCCCACACAGAGCTCCCTGTGGCCGTCACCACCCCCAGCTCCTTCAAGGTCAGGTCAGTCACTCAGTCATTTCCAACTGTGACCTCATGGACCAGCCCACGCCAGAGCTCCCTGTTGGCTGTCACCACCCCCAGCTCCTTCAGTAGGCAGTTGTTGTTGTTCATTCATTCAGTTGCTTCCGACTCTTCGTGACCTCATGGACCAGCCCACGCCAGAGCTCCCTGTTGGCCATCACCACCCCCAGCTCCTTCTGTAGGCAGTTGTTGTTTTATTTGTTCAGTCACTTCCGACTCTTCATGACCTCATGGACCAGCCCACACCAGAGCTCCCTGTTGGTCGTCACCACCCCCAGCTCCTTCAGTAGGCAGTTGTTGTTTATTTGTTCAGTCGCTTCTGACTCTTTGTGACTTCGTGGACCATCCCATGCCAGAGCTCCCTGTTGGCCGTCACCACCCCCAGCGCCCCCAGAGTCAAGCCAGTCACTTCAAGGAGACCATCCATCTTGCCCTCTTCCTTTTTCCTTCCATTTTCCCCAGCATCAGTAGGCAGTGCGTTCCCCAAACTCTGGCCTTTGTAGAGTTTAAGACTTCATCTGTCAGAATCCCTCAACCTTGGCCAAAGCAGCTGAGACTTCTGGGAAGGGAAGCCCAAAAGGTCTGGAAAGGTTAAGAGTTTGGGGCAGTCAACCTGGACTAAGTGTCTATCCCCCCTTCCAAGGGTTAAATCCAGTGAGCTCAGGTTGGTAGAAAAGCCCCGGAAATAGGAAGACCCTGGGAGGGGAGAGCCACTTCCGGCTGAGCTGAGCCCTGGGAGATGCCAGGAGTTCTAACAATTGACCAGCGAGAGGGCGAGGGCGAGAGCGGCCGCAGGGGTGGCAGGGAGGCCTCCCTGGGTGCTGCAGGGCGGATGGGTGAGTCAGGGAGGGAAGGCATGGGTGTCAATGGGGGGCAGGGGGAGGGGTGCCAAAAAAGGGGGGAAAGGGGCTGCTGCAGAGAGGATGGGAGTGGGAAGACAACACACACACACACATCTATATCTAAATGTATCTATGCACATATGAAATATGCATCCATATGCAAGTATATAGATAGGTGCATATATGCACATGTGCAACCCATACCTGTATGCATCTCTATATACCTTTCTGTGTCATTGTGTATATGCAGACCTTTATAATGTGCATGCATTTATTATATACATATAGCACATATGAATATATATGTATCCATATTCATTCAGTCACTTCTGTATGAGCGCATATATATGCATATGCATGCATATATGCACATATTATTATTATTATTATTATTATTATTATTATTATTATGTTTATTTACATCTGCTTTTTCTCTCCATACCGAGTCTCAAAGCGGCTATATAGATAGATGCATATATGCACATGTGCCACTTATACCTATGCCTGGATGTATCTCTATATACCTTTCTCTGTCATTATGTATATAGAAATAATATTCATACATATATTATATGCATATAACACATATGAGTATATATGCTTCCATATAACATGTATGAGCACATATTATTATGTTTATTTACATCTGCTTTTTCTCTCCATACCGAGACTCAAAGCGGCTATATAGATACATGCATATATGCACATGTGCCACTTATACCTATACCTGTATGCGTCTCTATATACCTTTCCGTGTCATTGTGTATATGCAGACCTTTATAGAAATAATGTGCATACATATATTATATGCATATAACGCATATGAGTATATATGCTTCCATATAACATGTATGAGCACATATCATTACTATGTTTATTTACATCCGCTTTTTCTCTCCATACTGAGACACAAAGCGGCTATATAGATAGATGCATATATGCACATAGAATCATAGAATCAAAGAGTTGGAAGAGACCTCATGGGCCATCCAGTCCAACTGCCTGCCAAGAAGCCACCTATACCTGTATGCATCTCTATATACCTTTCCGTGTCATTGTGTATATGCAGACCTTTATAATGTGCATGCATATATTATATACATATAGCACATATGAATATATATGTATCCATATAACATGTATGAGCACATATATATGCATATGCATGCGTATATGCACATATTATTATTACGTTTATTTGCATCCTGCTTTTCCTCTCCATACTGAGACTCAAAGCGGCTATATAGATAGATGCATATATGCACATGTGCCACTTATACCTATACTTGTATGTATCTCTATATACCTTCCTGTGTCATTGTGTATATGCAGACCTTTATGGAAATAATGTGCATGCATATATTATATACATATAGCACATATGAGTATATCCATATAACATCTATGAGCAAATATATATGCATGTGCATGCATATATGCACATATTATTATTACGTTTATTTGCATCCCGCTTTTTCTCTCCATACCGTGACTCAAAGCGGCTATATAGATAGATGCATATATGCACATGTGCCACCTATACCTATACCTGTATGTATCTCTATATACCTTTCTGCTTCATTGTGTATATGCAGACCTTTATAATGTGCACATATATATGCATATGCATGCGTATATGCACATATTATTATTATGTTTATTTGCATCCTGCTTTTTCTCTCCATACTGAGACTCAAAGCAGCTATATAGATAGATGCATATATGCACATGTGCCACTTATACCTATGCCTGTATGTATCTCTATATAACTTTCTGTGTCATTGTGTATATGCAGACCTTTATAATGTGTACATATATATGCATATGCATGCATATATGCACATATTATTATTACGTTTATTTGCATCCTGCTTTTTCTCTCCATACTGAGACTCAAAGCAGCTATATAGATAGATCCATATATGCACATGTGCCAACTATACCTATGCCTGTATGTATCTCTATATAACTTTCTGTGTCATTGTGTATATGCAGACCTTTATAATGTGCACATATATATGCATATGCATGCATATATGCACATATTATTATTATGTTTATTTGCATCCCGCTATTTCTCTCCATACCGAGACTCAAAGTGGCTATATAGATAGATGCATATATGCACATGTACCACCTATACCTGTATGCATCTCTATATACCTTTCTGTGTCATTGTGTATATGCAGACCTTTATAATGTGCATGCATATGTTATATACATATAGCACATATGAATATATATGTATCCGTATAACATGTATGAGCACATATATATGCATATGCATGCGTATTTGCACATATCATTATTATGCTTATTTGCATCCCGCTTTTTCTCTCCATACTGAGACTCAAAGCGGCTATTTAGATAGATGCATATATGCACATGTGCCACTTATACCTGTATGTATCTCTATATACCTTTCTGTGTCATTGTGTATATGCAGACCTTTATGGAAATAATGTGCATGCATATATTATATACATATAACACATATGAGTATATATGCTTCCATATAACATGTATGAGCACATATTATTATTATGTTTATTTACAGAGTTTCAAAGTGGCTATATAGATAGAGGCATATATGCACATATTATTATTATGTTTATTTACATCTGCTTTTTCTCTCCATACCGAGACTCAAAGCGGCTATATAGATAGATGCATATATGCACATGTGCCACTTATACCTATACTTATACTTATGTGCCTGGATGTATCTCTATATACCTTTCTCTGTCATTATGTATATGCAGACCTTTATAGAAATAATATCCATACATATATTATATGCATATAACACATATGAGTGTATATGCTTCCATATAACATGTATGAGCACATATTATTATTATGTTTAATGTATTGTCGAAGGCTTTCATGGCCGGAATAACTGGGATGTTATAGTTTTTTTCCGGGCTATATGGCCATGGTCTAAAGGCATTTTCTCCTGATATTTCGCCACAGAGAAGCCATTGAAATCCACAAGCATGTGGACAATTTCAACAGAAAGGAGGAAACAATGAAAATGAACAAAATCTGGCTACCAGTATTTAAAAAACTCTAAAATTAGAACAGCACAACAACAGAGAGGAAACAAACAAGGACATCTAATCACCTCTCAACAAAAGATTGCTCCAGGCACTGCCAGGCAATCAAATGCTAATCAAGGTGATCAGTTGAAACATTCACACCTAGCTCCAGCAGACAAGAGTCCTTTGTCCCACCCTGGTCATTCCACAGATATATAAACCCTTTTTCCTAGTTCCAACAGACCTCACTACCTCTGAGGATGCTTGCCATAGATGCAGGCGAAACGTCAGGAGAGAATGCCTCTAGAACATGGCCAGCCCAAAAAAACCTACAACAACCCATTATTATGTTTATTTGCATCCTGCTTTTTCTCTCCATATACTCAAAGCAGCTATATAGCTACATGCATATATGCACATGTGCAACCTATACCTGTATGCATCTCTGTGTACCTTTCTGTGTCATTGTGTATATGCAGACCTTTATAATGTGCATGCATATCTGTCAGGGGTACTTCGATTGTGCTTTTCCTGCATGGCAAAAGGGGGTTGGACTGGATAAGCCATGAGGTCTCTTCCAACTCTGATTTTATTATTCTACCAACCGTCCCCTGCCACACGTTACTATGGCCCAGTCTGTGTATATGTGTTTTGTTGTGTGTGTGTGTGTGTATGTGTGTATGTGTATATGTGTATGCATATATGTATGTGTGTGTGTATATGTGTGTGTATATTTGTGTATATGTGTATATATGTGGTTTTCCACATGTGTTGTATTTGTTTGTTTGTTTGTTTTTTTTGGCTTTTTAAGTCTCTTCTGCTGTGTTTTTCAGACTTTTATGAGTGATGGTCACTTGTTGGCCTGACAGGTGTATCGTGTCCAAATTTGGTGTCAATTCGTCCAGTGGTTTTTGAGTTATATTAATCCCACAAACAAACAGTACATTTTTATTTATATAGTCTAGCCATCACCTGCCACGCGTTGCTGTTGGCCTGATAGGTGTATTGTGTCCAAATTTGGTGTCAATTCGTCCAGTGGTTTTTGAGTTATGTTAATCTCACAAACAAACAGTACATTTTTATTTATATAGATTTCTTTTTTTATTTTGGACATGGGTAAGTAAAACCATGGGCACCATCCCATGGATATGGAGGGATCATATTGTATTATTTCTCTTAAATGTGACTTGTACAAAAGGAAAGGGCAAAACCAATGCTATGATTCTCTGTTTCCTCTGACAGATTATATGCACAGATGTTGGGAAGGCAACACTCAGTCCGAACGCTCTTGAGACATTTCCTAGAAGAGCCAAAGGGATGGCCACACTTGGTAGCGATTCCGAAGAAGGCTCCGAAAGGCCACCTGGTGACCACCTGAAGGAAACCAAAGTCCAGTTCATTAATTCTTCCGGAGGATACGTTGAGGCGGAGGACTACCTGGCCCAGCATAGCATCATCAAGACGGAGGTCGAAGAGGATGGTTATGAAAGTCTGCAGAACTTTGGTTGGAGCCCAGTTCTCGTGAGGAGCCCCACCAAAATGACGGGAGAGAAACCTCACCGGTGCTCGGTCTGCGGGAAGACCATCTCCACCAAAGCCAAGCTCATCATCCACGAAAGAACCCACACGGGGGAGAAGCCCTTCGTGTGCTCATACTGCGGGAAGCGTTTCAACCAGCAGGCGCACCTCAACGGTCACCAAAGGACCCACACAGGGGAGAGGCCCTACAAGTGCGTTGACTGTGGGAGGAGCTTCAGCGACGGGACGTCCTTCAAGCGGCACCAGCGGATCCACACGGGAGAGAAGCCCTATGAGTGTGCGGACTGCGGGCGGTGTTTCCGCGACACCACGGGCATCAAGCGGCACATGATTGCCCACATGGCCAAGAAGCCCCACAAATGTGAGGATTGTGGGAAGAGCTTCCTGCACCGCTCGGAGCTTATGAAACACGAGAAAAGGCACCCCAGGGAAAAGCCGTACGGGTGCTCAGTCTGCGCACAGAGCTTCAGTAAGCCCCTGTACCTTTTTCGGCATGGGATCGTCCACGTTCGAGAGCAGCGGGAGCACCAGCAGCACATGAAGGGCTTTCCTCCCGAAAACCAAGGGGTTGTTCCCTCAGAGGGATCCGATGGGATCAGGGTCCCGATTCCGAAATGTGCTGCAATGCGCATGGAAGGCGGGAGGACCTTCCGGTGCTCGGAGTGTGGCAAGAGCTTCAGTCAGCAAACCAACCTGGTGGTCCACTGGCGGACTCACACCGGGGAGAAGCCCTACAAATGCTCGGATTGCGAGAAAACCTTCGGCGACCGGACCTCCTTGAGGCGGCATAAGAGGATCCACACGGGCGAGAAGCCCTATCAGTGCTCCGAGTGCGGGAAGCGCTTCAACGACAGCACCTCCTGCAAGAGGCACAAGACCACCCACACGGGCGAGAAGCCACATAAGTGCGAACATTGTGGGAAAAGCTTCATGTATCAAATTCAACTGAATAAACACAAGAGGTGCCACGCAGGAAAGGCCCTGAAATAAACGTGCCAACTTGAAGGGGAATATTTTTTTTCCGACTCGACATACATTCATGTTACCCCTTGGAGAAGGGATGCCCAGGGCTGCCCCAACAGAAGCAGCCTGAGATTTCTGTATCGGGTGCAGACGTGATACAGAGCAAGCGCCAGTCTTATCCTCCTTGGAAGCCATCAACTACCACGTCTTGTGGTAGCGAGTTGCAGAAGTTAATAATGTGCAGTATGAAGAATTGTCTTTTGTTTTTCCTCGTCCGAGCTGAACCTATTGACTGTTTCGTTCGGATGACCAAAAGTTCTCATTTTCCCTAGACAGATGTTCTCTGTCCACTTTCTCCATACCATTCATAATGAATTTTCTAGCACATCCTTTCACTTAGTCTTCCCTGTGTGTTAGCCTCTCCTTGTAGTGGGGTGGGATGGGAATGGATTGATCCAACCCCCTAATGTAATTTTGGTTTTTCTGTGCTGGGCCCAGCCCAATATTAAAATAAAAAGCAAACATTAACTTATAATGGATCCTGGCCTGACGTTCCTATGTTTGAAGGTGTGCTGGTGAAGGTATTAGTAAACTCTCCCTTGTCTCCCAACTCCCTATTGGTAAAGGTCAACTTGTAAATTATCTGTGAAATAAATAATAAAAAAGATGTGTCAAAGAGGAGTGCAGGCTATTTCTTTCCTTACTCTCAAGTTGATTTGGTTTACAACAAAAAATGGAAGCCATATTCTTTTCAACATTGGACTACATCATTCATGGTCACTATTTATTCTGTCTCATGGTGTCATGTCCTTATTTCCTGGTTTTGTGTAAAGCCAGGAAATTAGGCCATGACATAGACTTGGCCTGTGTATATTTGAAATAAGGGCGAGGGTTGTCATGGAAATGGGAGCAATGAAGGGGCGGGGCCAGAGTGAAGGATAGGAGGCGTGAGGGAAATAAACTACCAGTTGGAATTTTGTTTCGTACCCTAATGTATGCTTTTGAATAAAGCCTTCCCACTTTGGGTGGTTGTAGGTTTTTCGGTCTGTATGGCCATGTTCTAGAAGCATTTTCTCCTGACATTTCACCTGCATCTGTGGCAAGCATCCTCAGAGGTTGTAGGTTTTTTGAGCTGTATGGCCATGTTATAGAAGCATTCTCTCCTGATGTATCGCCTGCATCTGTGGGAAGCATCCTCACTTTTGAGTATGTTCAGGGACTTCCAAGTTGCCCAATCTTCGTTTGCCCCTGGAGGAAGACCCTCGTGGAGGGTCATCCATTTGGGATTTCCTGGTTTAGCTGCTCAGAGGGATACTCTCGCTGTTGTCAGAGGAACATATAAGAGGAGTAGTGGTTCTCATAAAGCTTTTCCTTGATTTGAGTCTACTGAGAGGAGGCTGATAGACATGCAGTGGGTGGCTTTCACAACCTTATTTCTCTCACAGTTAGCAGCAACTTCCTGTTGCGCCTTGGGGGTGGGATGGGGAAGGGGATGCCAGATAGCTTATAGGGTTTATCAACAGGTGTAGGTTTAAGACATCCTGTGATTATTCTACATGTCTCATTCAATGTTATAGTCACCTGCTTTGCATGGGCAGACTTATGCCAAACAGGGCAGGCATTTTCAGCAGTTGAGTAAGACAAGGCCAGGGCTGATGTTCTTATTCATTTTGGGTCTGCACCCCATGAGCTGCCAGTAAGTTTCCACAGCATGCTATTGCATGCAGCTACTTTGTGCTTAGTGTTCACCAAGTCTCATGGGCAGTGGTCTTGTTGACAGGAAATCATTCCTCTCATGGTTCCCATGTTTTTCCTTCTCCTTCAAACGAGACAGTTAGGGAGAAACCCAAGCCTCTTGCTTAGGTTTAAACTTGAGAAATTACTTTTGCAAGGAAAGACATTTAAAAACATCCTCTCCCATATGTGGTCCAAAGTGACATGAGCCATTCCACTACACCAGTATTTCTCAACTTGGAGGTCGGGACCCTGTGGGTGTCGCGTGGGGGTGTCAGAGGGGTTGCCAAAAAAAATATCAGAAAATACAGTATTTTCTGTTGGTTTCTGTTTGGGAAGTTTGGTCCAATTCTATCGCTGATGGGGTTCAGAATGTTCCTTTATTTAGGTGAACTATAAATCCCAGCAACTACAACTCCCAAATGTCAAGGTCTATTTTTCCCAAACTCCACCAGTTTCACATTTGGGCATATTGAGTATTCATGACAAGTTTGGTCCAGATCCATCAGTGTTTGAGTCCACAGTGCTCTCTGGATGTAGGTGAACTACAACTCCAAAACTCAAGGTCAGTGCCCACCCAACTCTTCCAGTGTTTTCTGTTGGTCATGGGAGTTCTGTGTGCCAAGTTTGGTTCAATTCCWTCGTTGGTGGAGTTCCGAATGCTCTTTGATTGCAGGTGAACTATAAATCCCAGCAACGACAACTCTCAAATGACAAAATTAYCCCCCCCCCCAAAAAAATTTTTTTTGGGTRTTTTGTGTATTTGTGCCAAATTTGGTCCAGTGAATGAAAATACATCCTGCATATCAGATAGGTGGTGGAGGCTCCTTCTTTGGAAGCTTTTAAACAGAGGCTGGATGGCCATCTGTCAGGARTGCTTTGAATGCAATATTCCTGCTTCTTGGCATGGGGTTGGACTGGATGGCCCATGAGGTCTCTTCCAACTCTGATTCTATGATTCTATATTTTCATTATGATTGATAACAGTAGCAAAATTACAGTTATGTATARCAACAAAATAATGTTATAGTTGGGGGTCACCACAACATGAGGAACAGCATTAGGCATGTTGACAAAAACTGTTCTACAGTGTAGGTGCACCTATATCATGCCCAAGCTGAAAGTTTCCCGATTTTTAAAAATTGTACTTTTGTGCCTTACACTTTCCAAGGACTTGGTAGTGATCCAGAGCAACATCCATAATAAAAAGCTTCTCATTATATTTGTCAGATTTTTATTACAAATTTACATTCAGGGCTGACCCAAAACATTTTGCTGCCCGAAGCAAAATATAAATACACTCACACTCCCTTCCATTGCTTGCTTCTATATTACAAACACCAACTAAACTGGCTGTTGGATTTTATTCCAAAACTGTCTATTCTATTACAGTAGTTTTCAAACTTGGGTCCTCCAAGCATTTTTTGTTTGCAGCTCCCAGAATCCTAGACCACAGATGAAGCTGGAGCTTCTGTGTTTGAAGGATTATGAACCTTTGTTTTAGACATATGAGGAGCTGAAGGGAAGGAGACATAAGAAAGTTGTGGGATTCATAAACCAATCTCCATTCTGTCATTTGCCCCATCTGCATCTGCACTGCTGAATTAATGCAGTTTGACACCACTTTACTGCTACGACTCAATTCTATGGAATCCTGGGAACTGGCATTTGGTGGTGTACCAGCATTCCTTGGCAGAGAAGACCAAAGCATTTGCAAAACTACAGTTCCTATAATCCCATAATATTGGGACCATAGTATCAAAATGTATTAAACTCTACAATGTCGATCATAGAATAATAGAGTTGGAAGAGAGCACATGGGCCATCTAGTCCAACCCCCTGCCATGCAGGAAAAGCACAATCAAAATATCCCTGACAGATGGCCATCCAGCCTTTGTTTAAAAGTTTCCAAGGAAGGAGCCTCCACTACATTCCAATGCAGAGAGTTCCACTGTTGAACAGCTCGTATGGTCAAGAAGTTCTTCCTAATGTTCAGGTGGAATCTCCTTTCCTGTAATTTGCACCTAAGTCTCATGACAAGGCTAGTCTTCATTTATTGGAAGGCAAAAGTACTGCAAAAATTAAATACTGCTGGAAGAGCCGCTGAAGAATAGGAATGGACAGAGAATCGTAGAATCATAGAGTTTGAAGAGACCTCATGGGCCATCCATTAGAAGCAGGAAATTTGCATTCAAAGCACCCCTGACAGATGGCCATCCAGCCTCTGTTTAAAAGCTTCCAAAGAAAGAGCCTCCACCACACTCCGGGGCAGGGAGTTCCACTGTTTTAGGGTTGTATAGCCATGTTCTAGAAGTCATACAGCCCAAAAAACCTACAGCAACCCAGTGATTCTGGCCATGAAAGCCTTCAACAATCATTCCTGCTGTTCATTCGTTCAGTCGTCTCCGACTCTTCGTGACCTCATGGACCAGCCCACGCCAGAGCTCCCTGTCGGCTGTCACCACCCCCGGCTCCTTCAAGGTCAAGCCAGTCACTTCAAGGATGCCATCCATCTATCTTGCCCTTGGTCGACCCCTCTTCCTTCCTTCTTCCTCTTCCTAGCTTTAAATAATTTACACATATATAGAAGTCATCATTTATTATTACATACCTGATACACTTGCACCCCAAAGAGTGGCAAGAGAGGTATAGAAACTACAAATTCACATCCTAGAAGTGTTCACCCTACTAGAAAAGTAAATGAACTTTCTCTGTGGATATTGCAATGCCACACAGCAGGGATAGCTATACACATTTTGCTGCCTGAGGCAAAGAACAAAATAGCAGTGTCCTCCTTAAAAAGAGTGGTTTTCAAATAAAAAACGAGTGTGTCTGCACTGTGGAATGAATGCAGTTTGACACCACATGGCACAATGTTATGGAAACCTGGGAACTGTAGTTTGGCAAGGCACCAACACCCTTGGGCAAAGACGTTGTAAAACTACAACTCCCATAGCATTGTGCCACGGCAGTTAAAGAAGGGATCAAACTACATTCATTCTATAGTGTAGACACATCTCCTTGCTTACTGCCATTCCCTTTTCCTTCTCTGCCCCATCTTGTTTAGATTGTAAGATGGAGAGCAAATTAACAATTTGTAAGCTGTTCTGAAAGCTGCTCTCAAAAAACTGGGGAATTCCAGACAGGAAACAATCAGGGCCAGAGAAGGGCGGAATATAAATACTGCAAATAAATAAATAGTAGAGGAGTGTTCTCACTACATCTTCCAGCGGGATTCTGTGGCTAACGTCCAGTGGATATTGACCATACAATCATGCTAGAGGACCTAGAGATCCCTCAAAGTGAAACTTGCAAATGAAGAGGGCCAACTGTATTATCAGCATTTCGACATTCTAGACAACACATAAGTACCTTCACAGTTTCCGCTAAGGTACTGATAACAAGTCCATGGTTGTTAACTCTCTAGATCAGGGCTTCCACTTGCAACCCCTTTCCACTCGAGAAATTTTTACGTGACCCTAGGTATATTGCTATATCAAAAAGGAATACAAATTAAACACATGCTCTTTCAAAATCATCTTTTGCAAGATTTGCTAAACAAGGTGATTTTCCTTTTTTATGGAGTACAGCTGAAGCATCTTCTGCAGTAAACACTGTATCACTTGTGCAGTAAACACTGCATGTTATTGCTAAATGGATTCATGTAAACGGAATAGGGTTGGATAGGTTTGTTCGGAAGAGCCTAAAAGTCAGAAAAAACTTCCGACTTTTGCCTTCCGAAGCAGTTTTGAACCATGCAAGAAAGGTGGGAGGGGCAAATCCAAAATTGAACCACTTACCTTTTTTCTTTTGGAAATATTCCATAATGTTCGGATTTCTCGCAAGGTTATTTTATCCCTTCCTTCTCCACTTTTGACCCCTCTTCTTGTCCCTCTCACTCGGATTGAGCCGGGCGAGGGAGAAGAAGAGGGGAAACGGAGAAGGAATTAACTCCTCCAGTTTTCCCCCCTCTTCTTCTCCTTCGCCCGGCTCAAGCCGAGCGAGAGGGAAAAGAAGAGGGACAAAAGCAGAGAAGGAAGGCATTAACTCCTCCACTTTTCCCTCCTGGCTGGTGGCCTGAGGCACAGGGAGGCAGGCAGGTGCATGGGCTGGAAGGAGCAGCTGCACAAGTGCTCCAAGTCACAGGAGGGCAAGCGGAGCCGAAGGAACACCCCCGATAAGTGAGGGAACACTGTACTATGATTTCTTTTCTCTACCAATTTAACACAGTTTGTGCCACACAAACAAAGTTCCTGAAGTAGAACAACTACTTTCAAAGTAAAGACTACCCAATGAAACAAGAAACAACACTTCAAACCATTAACGAAACAATTTGGAAGTCTTGGAAGTTTCGAAAAGTTTTGAAATTTTTTTGTGAAATTTTGAAGTAACTTTAGAATCGAACCACAAGTGCCCCCTACATGCAAAACGGGTTTTGAACCCTTTTTTTTGGCTCAACCAAGTCTAGTTCAGAAACCTACTACTGTTGCCAAATGTTTCATGACCCCAACACTGAGATAAGAGGACCCCATTTGTGTTCAAGACCCATAGTTTAGGAAGCAGTACTCTAGACAACAAGGACAAAGCTTCACAGGGTTGTTGTAGGTTTTTCCGGGTTATATGGCCATGTTCTAGAGGCATTTTCTCCTGACGTTTCTCCTGCATCTATGGCAAGCATCCTCAGATGTCGTGAGGTCTGTTGGAAGTAGGAAAATGGGTTTATATATCTGTGGAATGACCAGGGTGGGACAAAGGACTTTTGTCTGTTGGAGCTAGGTGTGAAGGTTTCAACTGACCACCTTAATTAAAATTTGATGGCTCAGCAGTGCCTGGGGGAATCTTTTGTTGAGAGGTGATTTTATTTATTTATTTATTTATTTATTTTTATTATTATTTGAACTTACATGCCGCCACTCCCCTGGGGCTCGGAGCGGCTTACAAGAATGGCTAAAATCTAACAAAATTTGAAAGCAATTTAAAACAATTTAAAAACAGCAATATCAATATCAAATCAAATATCAGATGTGCCTGGTTGTTTACTCTCTGTTGTTTTGCTGTTGTAATTTTAGAGTTTTTTAATACTGATAGCCAGATTTTGTTCAGACAAGAGTCGTTTGTCCCACCCTGGTCATTCCACCGATATATAAACCCATTTTCCTACTTCCAACAGACCTCATTACCTCTGAGGATGCTTGCCATAGATGCAGGCAAAATGTCAGGAGAAAATGCCTCTAGAACATGGCCATATAACCCAGAAAAACCTATAACAACCCAGTGATTCCGGCCATGAAAGCCTTCGACAATACACAAAGCTTCACAGTTTTTACTAAGATCATAAGTCTGTGGTTGTTGTTTTTCTTAACATTTCCCCTCCTGGTGGGTGATTTGATGCCTGACAAGAAGCGACCTGTCACTGAAAATCTTCCCACAGTCCGGGCATCGGAACGGCTTCTCCCCAGTGTGGATTCTCATGTGTACCCTCAGATTTGAGTTGCCACCAAAACTCTTCCCACAGTCCGTGCAGGTGTAGGGCTTCTCCCGTGTGTGGGTCCGTTCGTGGACCAGGAGTCCCGAACTCTGGCTGAAGCTTTTCCCGCAGTCCCGACATTTGTAGGGTTTCTCCCCTGTGTGGATCCTCTGATGTCTGATAAGGACCGGCCTCTCCCGGAAGCTCTTCCCGCAATCCGTGCACTTGTAGGGCCGCTCCCCGGTGTGGGTCCGCTTATGGACGATCAAATTCGAATTGTCGCAAAAGCTCTTCCCGCAGTCCGAACACTGGTAAGGCTTCTCCCCAGTGTGGATGCGTTCGTGGGTGATCAGGTAAGCTCTTGTGCTGAACCCTTTTCCACATACGGAGCACTTGTAGGGTTTTTCACCCGTGTGGGTTCTCTCGTGAGCTTGAAGGTTGCACTTGAGTTGGAAGTCTTTGCCACAATGAACACATGACTTGTCTCGCTCGCTTCCAGGTTTCTGTGCCTCAGTGATAGGCATCGTTAGCTGGACAACATTCTCCTCAAGCACCACATATCTTCCCTGGGAATTAATAAATTTATCTCCTCCTTGCTCAAGGCAGACTTCTTCTGGACTCCTGGATGCTTCTCCTTGTTGAGGCCAAGTAGAAAAATTCTGCCCAGCTCTTCTGGACAGTATTTGATGCAGCTCTAATCCCTGGGCCTTTTCCCGTTGCTTTTGCTTCTTACAGTCTCGTGCTGGAATAAAGCAACAAAGCTAGACATGAAATTCCAGTTCTTAACTAGAAACTAATAGAATTAAATTCAATAGAGATAAAATTCTACATTGAGAGCAAGAACACCAAATGCATTGATACAAGACGGGGAATCCTTGGTTTATCAGCAGTACATATGAAAAACATATTGGGATTATTGTTCCTCCAAAACTGAACACCAGCCAGCAGTGTGATGTTGCAGCAAAGAAGGCTGCACAGCTTTGTTTCATATCCGGTCGTATCATTAACAGAAATAATAATAATAATAATAATAATAATAATAATAATAATAATCCAGTACAGGTGGTCCCAGTGGTCATTGGCACACTGGGTGCCATGCCAAAAGATCTCAGCTGGCATTTGGAAACAATAAACATTGACAAAATCACTATCTGTCAGCTGCAAAAGGCCACCTTACTTGGATCTGCGCTCATCATTAGAAAATAGATCACACAGTCCTAGACCCTTGGAAGTGTTTGACTTGTGATTTTGTGATATGAAATCCAGCCAGCATATAGATCTCATTTGCTGTTACATATTGTGTTTTTGTGTCAGTAAAATAATAATAATAATAATAATAATAATAATAATAATAATAATGATAATAATAATAATAATAATAATAATCCAGTACAGGTGGTCCCAGTGGTCATTGGCACACTGGGTGCCATGCCAAAAGACCTCAGCCAGCATTTGGAAGCAATAAACATCGACAAAATCACAATCTGTCAACTGCAAAAGGCCACCTTACTTGGATCTGTGTGCATCATTCAAAAATACATCACACAGTCCTAGACGCTTGGGAAGTGTTCGGCTTGTGATTTTGTAATACAAAATCCAGCATATAGATCTCGTTTGCTGTGACATACTGTGGTTTTGTGTCAGTAAAATAATAACAACAACAACACCAAAAATAACAATAACTTCTTAAACATGGCCATATAGCCCGAAAAAACCCACAAGAACTTAATAACTTCATTCTTATATCCCGCCACCATCTCCCCGAAGGGACTCAGGGTAGATTACAGATAGCACATAGTACCTAAAAACAAACATAAAAGTGAACACAATATAAAATACAATAAAACACATGCACATATTAAAACATCAGTTCAAACTCAATCAGTTGCAACCCTCTAACTGTGGAGGGTAAATTACTGGCACCATGGCCAGGATGTAAACATTGGAATAAAATAGGTGCCAGCTGCAGGAATGGAGAGAGAGGGCATGGGATAAAGTGCAGGATGCGCGACTACTATGTATGACAACTAGGAATTATTCTCAAAGGATTGCTTGAAGAGCCTTGTCTTCAAGTCCCTATGAAAGGAGGGCAGTTTGGGGGCTTGTCTAATCTCCCTGGGGAGGGAGTTCCAAAGCCAGAGGGCCACCACCAAAAAAGCCCTCTCCCTTGTCCCCACCAACCACACTTGTGACGCTGGTGGGACTGAGAGGAGGGCCTCCCCAGCAGATCTTAATATCCATGTTGGTTCATGGGGGGAGGGTGGGATGTGGTCACAAAGATAGGCAGGACCCAAGCTGTTTAGGGCTTTATAGGAGATAACAGTATTACAGTAATGTAATCTTGATGGAACTAAGGCATGGACCACCATGCTTCTTGAGGTATAGTCGCAGCTGGTGCACAAGCTTTAACTGTGCGAAGGCTCTCTCGGCCACTGCTGACATCTGAGCTTCAAGTGTCAGCGCTGAGTCTAGGAGGACCCCCAGACTGCGGATCCATGTTCTCAGGGTGAGTGTTACCCCATTGAACACACGTTGCTACCCTATACCCTGATCGGCCTCATGACAGACCACGAGGATCTCTGTCTTGACTGGATTAAGCTTCAGCTTGTTAGCCTCATCCAGTCCATCACAGCAGCCAGGCACTGGTCCATGATCCGAGGGACTTCCTTGGAATTCATTGGAAAGGAGTACTAGGGTTGTGTGTCATCTGCATATAGATGGCACCAAACTCAAAAACTCTGGACGACCTCTCCAAACGGTTTTATGTAGATGTCGAAAAGCATGGGTGATAGAATGGAACATCAAGGGGACTCAGAGCGGCTTACAAGATATATTTTCATACAATATATTATATTATTAGGATAGTACAATATCAGTATTATATATTACAATATTGCACTATACCATTAGAATAGAATCATAGAATCATAGAATCAAAGAGTTGGAAGAGACCTCATGGGCCATCCAGTCCAACCCCCTGCCAAGAAGCAGGAATATTGCATTCAAATCACCCCTGACAGATGGCCATCCAAGCCTCTGTTTAAAAGCTTCCAAAGAAGGAGCCTCCACCACACTCTGGGGCAGAGAGTTCCACTGCTGAATGGCTCTCACAGTCAGGAAGTTCTTCCTCATGTTCAGATGGAATCTCCTATATTGTAATATTATTAGTAATATTACATGTAGTGTAAATATATAATTATAATTATAATATTGTATTATTATTACTAATATTATATTGTATTACATTATAATATTAACAATATTATATGTATATACAATATGCTATGATGGATCAAGATAATTAGTTTCATCCAAGGATGCCTAAAACGTTTAGCTGTATGGCCAAAACTCTATTGTAAGGAATCTTTACCTGATGAGGCTGAATCTTGATCCCCTTCCTGTTTGATCTCCATGACAAGCGGTGTCTTCCAAGCATGCAAGGGACTGCCCTCTGCTTCAGAAAACTCAGCTGCTCCCTTCTTGAGTACGGCCACCTCCTGAATCAGAAGGAAAGGTAATCATTTTAGTGTATTTGACCAGAAGTGTTTTGGATTATGGAGATTGGAACATTTGCAATTTTGGATCTTTGGGATACAAGCCTAAAAAACAAAATTAATTTATTTTTCAAATGCAGAGGAGATTTTTTTTTTGTTTTTACAGACATTATTGTTTCTTTTATATTAAATTTTAAATGTTTAATTTAAGGGGAGGAAAGGGCAGGGATGGGGCTTGGGGAGAACCTCCTCCCTCCCAGCCCATCCACCCTGCTCCAGCCCGCCATGCGGCCCCCAAGTTAGAAAGTCTGCCCATGCCTGTTACAGTGGGTCCACTGTACTCACAAACAAGAGTCTTCCTTGCAGTGTCTTTCCTTCACATACCAGGCAGTCAAGCTCAAGATTACCTAGAGAAAACCATAAACTCACCTGATTTCTTCTGTTCTCCCTGGGCAGCTGTTTCAACAAGAAGTCCTCAGCCAGGGCCACTGCTTGAGAGCAGCTTTTTGGTCCTCCTTTGCTAACCCAGTTCTGCATCTCTGGAGGCAGGACAGCCAGGAATTGCTCCAGGATCACCAACTCCACAATCCGCTCCTTGGTGTGCCTCTCCGGCTTCAGCCACCGGTGGCAAAGGTCCCAGAGATGGCTGCAAACCTCTCGGGGACCCTCAACCTCCTGGTAGAGGAACTGACGGAAGCGTCGACGTTGCGCATCAGTGCCAATGGCATCTTTCTCTTCCTCGCCATCCTCTTCTTTCTCCAATTTCACTTCCCCTTCCTCTTCCTTGTCTCTGGACAACTGATCATTAGCCAATGGTTGGACTTCCTTGCCGGGACTTGCCCGAACCTGGATCAGTGCCTCTTGCATTGTATCTGCCCGCACAGTCTGAGTCGTGTCCCTTAAGGCCAAAGTGTCTTGGTGTGGATTTTTTCTTTCTGAGTTGGAACTCTCCATTGCTTGCAAGAAGTCCTGCAGTCGGGCTTCCCATGGCTGCTGTGGCTCATTATGCAATTCCTGTTTCATGTGGTTTGGCACATTTCTGCCCCCTCCAATTCATCCACAATGTGGAGGCCTTTTCCTATCCCCAGTTCAAGGGCTGCTGGATCTCGCTGCTTGGTTTTAACTTCCCAATGGGGTGGACCCAAAGAGAATGCACCTTTTTGCTTTGCAGCCATCACCTCCTGGCAAAAAAATGTCCAGTCCTGAATTAATATTATCAGTGATTTTTCCAAGGCCAGGGATGGTTTGGACCTCACCACACGGCACTGTGTTCAGACATGCAAGTGCATAAGAAGCAGGGGAGTTTTATTAGTCCTGAAAAGAAAAGGAGAATAGATGTCAACAAAAAGCAAAATAAGAAAAATAACACCTGGAATATTGTCTCCAAATTTGGGCACCACAATTGAAGAGAAATATTGACAAGTTGGAATGTGTCCAGAGGAGGGTGACTAAAATGATCAAGGGTCTGGAGAACAAGCCCTATGAGGAGCGGCTAAAAGAGCCGGGCATGTTTAGCAGCAGAAAAGAAGGCTGAGAGGAGACATGATGAGGGCCATGTATAAATATGTGAGGGGAAGTCACAGGGAGGAGGGAGCAAGCTTGTTTTCTGCTTCCCTGGAGACTAGGACGCAATGGAATGGCTTCAAACTACAAGAAAACAGATTCCATCTGAACATTAGGAAGAACTTCCTGACTGTGAGAGCTGTCAGGAAGGGTCATCCAGTCCAACCCCATTCTGCCAAGAAGCAGGAAAATTACATTCAAAGCACCCCCGACAGATGGCCATCCAGCCTCTGTTTAAAAACTTCCAAAGAAGGAGCCTCCAGCACACTCTGGGGCAGAGAGTTCCACTGCTGAACAGCTCTCACAGTCAGGAAATTTAAATGTCAAGGTCTATTTCCCCAAAACTCCACCAGTGTTCACATTTGGCCATACTGAGTGTTCGTGCCAAGTTTGGTCCAGAGCCATCATTGTTTGATGTAAGGGAACTACAACTCCTAACTCAAGGTCAATGCCCACCAAACCCTTCCAGTATTTTCTGTTGGTCATGGGAGTGCTATGTGCCAAGACTGGTTCAATTCCATCATTGGTGGAGTTCGGAATGCTCTTTGATTGTAGGTGAACTATAAATCCCAGCAACAGCAACTCCCAAATGTCAAGGTCTATTATCCCCAAACTCCACCAGTGTTTATATTTGGTCATATTGAGTATCTGTGCCAAGTTTGGTCCAGATCAATCATTGTTCGAGTCCACAGCGCCCTTTGGATGTAGGTGAACTACAACTCAAAAACTCAAGGTCAATGCCCACCAAACCCTTCCAGTATTTCTGTTGGTCATGGGAGTTCTGTGTGCCAAGTTTGGTCCAATTCCATCATTGGTGGGGTTCAAGGGACTCTTCGATTGTAGGTGAACCATAAATCCCAGCAACGACAACTCCCAAATGTCAGGGTCTATCTTCCCCTAACTCCACCAGTGTCCATATTTGGGTGTATTGAGTATCCATGCCAAGTTTGGTCTAGATCAATCATTATTTGAATCCACAGTGCTCTCTGGATGTAGGGGAACTGCAACTCCAAAACTCAAGGTCAGTACCCACCAAAACCTTCCAGTATTTTCTATTGGTCATGGGAGTGCTGTGTGCCAAGACTGGTTCAATTCCATCACTGGTAGAGTTCAGAATGCCCTTTGATTGTAGGTGAACTATACATCCCAGCAACTACAACTCCCAAATGACAAAATCAACCCACCAGTATTCAAATTTAGGTGTATGGTTGTGCCAATTTGGTCCAGTGAATGAAGATACATCCTGCATATGTACATCAGGATTCATAACAGTAACAAAATTACAGTTGTGAAGTAGCAACAAAAACAATGTTACGCTTGGGGGTCAGCACAACTGTCTGAAGGGGTCACAGCATTGGGAAGGTTGAGAAACCCTGGTGTAGATGCATTGGAAAAGAGGCTTCCCCAGTTAAACCTCTGCCTGAGTCCCACAGATACTCATGCAACACACTTTCCTACTCACCAAGAAGCAGAGGGTGGGATAAAGACAAGCTCAGCATCGCCTGGGAAATTTAAATCCGATTTTCCCATGGAAGGCGGGGCAGGAAGTGAGTTGCATTGACAGCACTCTCCAGCCTCCCCTTCCCAAAGTCTCTCTCCCTGCTTCTCTAGGAAGCACAAACTCCATGAGCTTAACCCCTTTCTCTAGTTCTGCTGCAGCAAACAGGGCAGGAGGGATTCCAAAGATATCTTTAGATGACAGGTGGTGCAGCTACACTGCAAGATTAATGCAGTTTGGCACCTCTTTAGCTGCATTGGCTCAATGCAAAGTAATCCTGAGAGGTAGTTTACAAGGTCTTTAGCCTTCCTTGCCAAAGAGGGCTGGTGCCTCACTAAACTACAACTCCTAGGATTCCATAGCATTCAGCCATGGTGGTGTCAAACTGCATTCATTCTACAGTGTAGACCAGGCACGGGCAAACTTGGGCCCTCCAGGTGTTTTGGTCAGCCGTAGGAATTGTGGGAGTTAAAGTCCAGAACACCTGGAGGGCCCAAGTTTGCCCATGCCTGGTGTAGATGCACCCACAAACTCAATGTTGATAATCACAAATTTTAATCTTGCGCCTTGTGTTGGATCTACGCATTTAAAAAATGTATTTTGCTTAAATATTTTTAATATGTGTCTTGTATAGAATGTACTAACCGTCCCCTGCCACGTGTTGCTGTGACCCCGTCTGTGGTTTGTGTGTATATATATTTGTGTATTTGTGTATACATGTGGTTTTGCACATGCATTGTAATGTATTTTTTATTTTTTGGCTTTTTAAATAGTTTCTGCTGTGGTTTTCAGTGTTTTTATGAGTGATGGTCACTCGTTGGCCTGATACATATACACTAGACTTGGGCAATCCATGGTTCTAAAGTACTTACAAAACTAAAGTTCTGGTGGTGAAAATTTCAGAACTCTAACAAAACTTTCAAAATTTAATTATTATTTCATTATTGGTGATTTTAATGACAGAACCAATTAGGAACTGCCATTTATTATGAAATTTTGAGAGTTTTGTTAGAGTTCTGAATTTTCACCACCAGAACTTTAGTTTTGTAAGTACTTTAGAACCATTTAGAACCATGGATTGCCCAAGCCTAATATACACATACTAGACATGCCCTGCCACGCATTTCTGTGGCCCTGTCTGTGTATATGTTTTTGTGTGTATATATGTGTGTGTATATGTGGTTTTGCGCATGCATTATAATGTATTTTTTATTTTTTGGCTTAATAATAAGTTGCTTCCCTTTTGGTTGGTAGATCTTATAATTGCTGGTGATTTACCAGCTATGCTAAAGCCCAGCCCCGAAAGTAAACTTTGATTCTGCCACACTGGTTTATTGCTTGGAATTGATATTTTTATTGTTTATTATTTATTGCTTTTAGTAATTTATGAACATTAAAAGCAATTAAAGGTACACCCATTTTTTAAAAAAGCACACAAAGACAACACAGCACATTGTAGATTGGAAGTAGGGATGTAACTATAGAAGTGGGGAAGGAAATGAGGAAATGTTCCATAAACCAGAATTCATCCCCGCAAATGAAGTTTTCCTTCAGCTTCTACATTGCAGAAAATGAAACACAGAAGATGGTTCACACCAAGAACTACTTTTATTTGCTATGTTCACATTTCCTTTTCAGCAGTTATACATATTACATCTTTACAATCAGTCCTCTACGTTTTCGGGTTTCATATTTGCTGATTTGATTATTCACATATTTGACTAATATGTTCTCTGTATGAACCTTTAGGTCCTCCAGTGTAACTCTACAAGTCAATGCCTTTGATAGAATTGAGCTGGAGGATGTAGAAATTCCTATTTTCAAGCTAACATGCTTTGGACCACCAACCCATATTACAGTAGATAATTCAGTTTACGTATTGACCAAAGGAAGTTGCCTTAGATCAGCAGATTGTTTTCCTAGACCAACTGTTATCTGTTTTACAGGCAGTAACCTTCTAGGATCACAGCCTTTTCAATCAACTGCTGCCTCATCCTTCAAACTGGAGACGGCAGGAACTGAACTTTGTGACTTTGTGAATGAAAAGTTTGTGCTGTATCACTGAACTATGTTCTATCATCCAAGCTATGACTTCATGGATATGTAAAAGAATGAGACAACACCAAAGAAAGTATCAAACATATTGTTAAATCCATTATAATCCCTCTGTCTGTCATGATGGAATATGATATTTGATTTGAATGGAATTGTATGAAAAGTGTATATAATAATATAATGCTAATAATTTTGGAGACACCATTTTGAAGCCAAGGTTTGCAATGACTAAACCATTTACTCCCTGCTTGCTTGGATTGTAATTAAAACCTGCTAATGAGAACTGAAATGGTTGACCTGCCTATTAAACTGTGATAAGAACTGTTACAAATCATAGAATCATAGAATAGAATCAGACTTGGAAGAGACCTCATGGGCCATCCAGTCCAACCCCCTGCCAAGAAGCAGGAATATTGCATTTAAATCACCCCTGACAGATGGCCATCCAGCCTCTGTTTAAAAGCTTCCAAAGAAGGAGCCTCCACCACACTCCGGGGCAGAGAGTTCCACTGCTGAACGGCTCTCACAGTCAGGAAGTTCTTCCTCATGTTCAGATGGAATCTCCTTTCTTGTAGTTTGAAGCCATTGTTCCGCGTCCTAGTCTCCAGGGAAGCCGAAAACAAGCTTGCTCCCTCCTCCCTGTGGCTTCCTCTCACATATTTATACATGGCTATCATATCTCCTCTCAGCCTTCTCTTCTTCAGGCGCGAACAAACTGAAATTAAATCCAGACAAGACAGAGGTACTCCTGGTCAGTCGTAAGGCCGAACAGGGTATAGGGTTACAGCCTGTGCTGGACGGGGTCGCACTCCCCTTGAAGGCGCAGGTTCGCAGCTTGGGTGTGACCCTGGACTCATCGCTGAGCCTGGAGTCTCAGGTTTCAGCGGTGACCAGGGGAGCATTTGCACAGCTTAGGCTCGTGCGCCAGTTGCGCCCGTATCTTGGGAAGTCTGACTTGGCCACGGTGGTACACGCTTTGGTCACATCCCGCCTCGATTACTGCAACGCTCTCTACGTGGGGCTGCCCTTGAAGACGGCCCGGAAGCTCCAGCTAGTCCAGCGCGCGGCAGCCATGTTGTTAACGGGAGCTGGACGCAGGGAGCATACAACGCCTCTGCTGTCCCAACTCCACTGGCTGCCGATCCGCTACCGGGCCCAATTCAAGGTGCTGGTGTTATCCTACAAAGCCCTAAACGGTTCCGGCCCAAAATACCTTGCAAACCGCATCTTGGCCTACGAGCCCACGAGGGCCTTGAGATCATCCGGGGAGGCCCTTCTCTCGGTCCCGCCTGCCTCACAGGCACGCCTGGCGGGGACGAGAGAGCGGGCCTTCTCGGTGGTGGCCCCCCGGCTGTGGAACACCCTCCCTGCTGAAGTTAGACAGGCGCCTTCTTTGATGGCCTTTCGTAGGGGCCTAAAAACATGGCTCTTCGAGCAGGCCTTCAACTGAGTGTATTGAATGACAATGGAATGAACTAGGACTACGAATTTGGCTATGACCCCAGGACTTGACGAAGCGGATTTTTAGTATAAGTATATGTTATGTGGTATCTGTTTGGTTTGTATTGTCATGATTCACTGTACGCTGTCGTCTGTGTGTTATGTTGTTGTTCACCGCCCCGAGTCGCCCTTGGGCTGAGAGGGGCGGTCAATAAATGCAAGAAATAAATAAATAAATAAATAATAATATTTATACATGGCTATCATATCCCCTCTCAGCCTTCTCTTCTTCAGGCTAAACATGCCCAGCTCCTTAAGCCGCTCCTCATAGGGCTTGTTCTCCAGACCTTTTATCATTTTAGTCGCCCTCCTCTGGACACATTCCAGCTTGTCAATATCTCTCTTGAATTGTGGTGCCCAGAATTGGACACAATATTCCAGGTGTGGTCTAACCAAAGTGGAATAGAGGGGTAGCATGACTTCCCTAGATCTAGACACTATGCTCCTATTGATGCAGGCCATTGAGAATAATTTTTAACTTGTAGTCCACAAGGACTCCAAGATCCTTTTCACACATACTGCTCTCGAGCCAGGCGTCCCCCATTCTGTATCTTTGCATTAAATGATTAACTGTTGGACTTCTGGGGGAAAATGTGTTTACATTAATCAGAGACAATGGCTCTTTAAGTTAAGGAAATGTTTACAAAGTTTCTTACATCTCAAAGGAAGCAAACAAGGCTCCTTGAGAAGGAAAACCAACTACGCAGAGTCAACATCTGTCCAGGGAACTGGTGGAATCAGGATGTTTCAGGCTGGAAAAGCATATACCATTCATTTACAACTTTGGAAAAAGATCAGAAAATATTGCTATGTAAGAGATCTTATTACAATCCACAAAGTGTGACAGACAGCAGTGCTGTTCACCCGCCATGCTGTATTGAGAGAGATGGTGTACGGGGAGTCTCAGATCTGCAATGGAAAGCAGGATTACGGACACTTGCCTGCCTCCTTTTCTCAAGGGAAGGAAAAAGAGTGCAATTTTGGAAGTATTGTTGTGATACGTTTGTGGGGAGTCAGTTTCTGATCCTTGGCATTGTTCTTAGGGAAAGAGGATGCATTTTGGCATAGTTTTGAAACTATGCATTGGCAGGCTGCAAGAGAAAGCAGGGTCTGGCCTAAGCAAGTGCTTCTCCAGGATGGAGAAAGGACATGGTAATACCTGGATGCATGAGGATGAATTAATGTTTATATGTAATATGAATGCTGAATAAAAATGTAATTCCCCATTTGTTTCTTTGTTAGCCAATGTAATTGTAGATTGTTTGTGAATTCAATGTAATTACATAGAATCTGTATGTCTGTACATGTAAAAGTTCTGTAAAAATTCTGATACTCTTTCTCTTACTGGAAAATTGCAATAAAAAGAACCTATGCCATAAAATTATTGAAAAGAGAGGAGATAACAGCTCTGTTCTTTTCTTCCAGCGATGTCCGGTGAACAGTGAAGACGTGTCTGTAACTATTTGGGGGGGGGGGGGGGGGTGTCACATGGCTGTCGTCTTCATGCTGTAAAGGTTT